AGGAAGGAAGGAAGGAAGGAAGGAAGGAAGGAAGGAAGGAAGGAAGGAAGGGAGAAAGAGAGCCCTAGGTTCAATCCCAGGCACCAAAAAAGAAATAGATAAAAGATCATTCTACTTAACTTTATTAAAACCTGGATAGTGCAGAACCCTGGCCTCTGGGAATGTGCTATGTGAGCCTCAAGTGAGGCCCATCAGGGGTGCCGGATCTTTGACCCTGACACACAACTGTGCCTGTCCTCGCTCACAGCTGCCCTGTGCACATGCGGCACCTGCCTGAGTCTGCATGAACACGTTCCGAAGCTCTGTTGTGGCTTTTTTCAGTGTTGGGGCCTGCACCCTGAGCCTCACACGCTTGCTGGGCTAACTGCCCAGCTGTTTGTAAGTTTACTTTGCCAGAGTCCTACTAAGTTACCCTGCTGTCCTTAAACTCCCTGCCGCAGCCCGCTCCCTAGCCTGTGACCCTCCTGCGTCAGCCTCCCGAGCAGCCGATTACAGGGCTGAGCACACAGGGATAGCACATTTAAGTGCCGGGCTGGGGCTGCGTGCAGCACAGCAGCCAGGCACTTCCCTCGCGTGTGTGAGCCTCACACTAGACTCCCAGCACCAAACCCAGGTGGGCAGTGTGTCCGAAGGGCTCTGATGGACTGCGGCGCACTGACCGTTGTCACAGAAAGAAGCGTGTGGCCTGCCCACCAACGGCCAGTGCTACCAAAGATGTTTACCCACGCCCGCCAGAACAGACCTGGGCTCCCGGTTCCTCCGGAGCAGGCTGACGAAGGTCTCAATTTCTTTCGCCGTGATGTGTTTCTCCAGGAGTTTGCGGTTATTGTGTAGCAAGGCTGTGATCGTGTCCTCTGCCAAAATGTCATAGCCGATCTGCGACTGCATGATGCAGAAGTTCTTGGCGATGTACTCCTGTGGAGAGGCAGAGCCCTCAGCTGTGCTACTGGCGTCCCAGGGGCAGCTCCCCTCAGCTGAGCCACCCAGAAGACCCATTTGTCAGAAGAAAACAAGAAAATAACTCCTCAACAGAGAGAACTTGAGGAAATGAAAATCACATAATTTAAAGTGTAACCGAGGGCTCAGCGCAGAGCTTGGGTGAGATCGTTTACCGGGCAGGCACAAGGCTTGAGATTCCGTCCTCAACAGCACACACAGCTAACTACTAACTGATTAATTAAAAGCTGTGCCACTAATCTTATTTTGAAGATTATTTTCTTATTTTCTCCTGTGAGAAAAACTATCTAAATTGAGTTTTTATGCCATAGTGACTTAGAATTTCACCAGCCCGAAAGAGGCCCTCAGACTATCACCAGAAGTGATCATTTCGGGTAAGATAATAATAATTTTTTAAAAAAGCAAATGACTGCATGACTCCGCGCCTGTGGCTTGAGATCCGTGCAGCCATTTGAAGAGTCTATGTGGATCTGAGTTGGTTTTGTATTTTCTCAGACTAATGCTAGAATGACAACAAGATCTTCCCTGAGAAATACCATCAACAACTCTGCACAGGGACTGGTAAAGAGTGATCAACAGGATCATACAATAGCTCAAGTTATTAAATAGACCCAGCCACGCAGTAACTGTTCCGTAACGGCTCCTGTGGATGTGGCTGCAGGTGAGAGCTCTCCTCCCTGGAGACAGCAGACAGCCAAACACACTTTCACACGTGGCTGAGAAAATGAAACAGAGGGTAGAGCTCTGCAAGAGGCAGCTGCAGCGGAGACAGGCTGGTGAAACGACATGAGCAAGTACAGGCGGGCAAAGCACACACATACGGAAAATGCATGTATCTTTAATCGTATAAGAGAGTCAACTTGGCCAGATGATAATTTATTTGTTGCTTTAAGAAAGAAAGAATGACTAAATCTGGGGACTGGAGAGATGGCTCAGCGGTTAAGAGCACTGACCACAGGACCTGGGTTCAATTCCCAGCACCCACATGGCAGCTCACAACTGTCTGTAACTCCTGTTCCAGGGGATCCAACACCCTCACGTAGACATACAGGCAGTCAAAACACCGACGTCCATAAAATAAAAATATAAAAATAAGTGAAGAATCCTTGTGAGTGGTAAAGACCAAAATGTTATTCTAACCACGAGAGAATGCACTGAGTTTCAATTATGCACTATTTAAGTCTGCTCCTTATTCTTTCTTAACATTAATTACTTGTGTGTGTGTGTGTGTGTGTGTGTGTGTGCGCGCGCGCGCGCGCATGCCTACATCTAGGTCTGCTCACCACATGCATGAAGCACCCACAGAGGCCAGAAGACTGCAGCAGATACCCTGGAACTGGGGTTCCACACCATTGTGAGCCCCGATGTGGGTGCTGGGAACTGAAGAAGCCGCTGCTCTTGGCCGTCTCTCCAGCCCTGCGCTGGCCAGCCAGGCGCTGTACTGGATGCCCCCAGCACCGCCCTGAACATCTGTCTCAGCATTCTGGACCTCACTCCTTCCCAGGGAGACGGGAATGCCACTCTGCCATCCTACAGAAATGCGGTTAAACAGGAGGACGACCACAGCGGCAGCATTTCAGTGAAAAAGAACTAGGTTCAGCAGGATGGGATTAGAGATGCTATTATAGTATGTGTTAAATCTCATGTATGGAAATTCGGATGCTCAGGAGTCTGTTTATACTGTCAGTTTGCTCTGTTCTTGATGTGCCAGATTCTGTCGAGCTAATCTGTTCCACATATCCTTTCTGGTCCTTTCTCTAATCTTACAGCTTAATTCCAAAGCCAACATATTTAATACATTCTTCCTAAAGGAGAAAAAAAAATGTTTTCTTGCTAGAATGCTTTCAAGCTCTCAGGAGATGACTCAGAGCCAGGAATTACACACTGGATCCATTCTTAAAACTGTAGCCTGGCAGCTGAGGGTGTAGGCGAGTCACAGTGCCTGCCTGGGGCCAAGTTTGACCCCCAATGCCACAACAAATACATATCTATACAAATATATGCATGTGTGTGTATATATATATACATAAAGAAAACAAACAACACTGTAAGACTGCACATATTACTCAGCGTCTACGCCTCTATTCTTTGTCTCAACTGTTTAAACTGAGCTGAGGTGTGAAAACTGCTTAAAACTGAGGCTGGAACAAAACGAGAGGAAGCTGAGTGCTGCCAGCTTGTCTCAACAAACCCCTCCCCCGCCACCCCCATCCCCAATCCCCACTCCCTGGCCCCACCCCCACACCGCCATCCCCCCACCCCTTGGCCCCGCACCCCATTCCCCCACACCACCACCCCATCCCCCTTCCACCCCCACCCCCATCTGTTACCCTGAGGTCTGATTCAGGCTCTGCCTCCCAACCCCCTCTCAGGCCATAGTCTCTCAAACTCAGCAAAACAGCAGCGATATACATCGACCCTTCTATTAGGTAAGAAATACATGAAGAATAAGCTGCCAGGGAGGCAAGAATGTTAATAGCCTCGTGTCAGACTTCTGCCTTACTTAACCCAATGCACTCTATTATACAGTTTTAAAGACTATTTTGTGTGTGTGAGCGTTTTGCCCGCGTGTATGTCTGTGCCAACAGAGGACAAAGGGGGACTTTGGACCCCCCGGGACTGGAGTTACAGTCGGCCATGAGCTGGCATGTGAGTGCTAAAAATGGAACCCGGGTCCTCTGGAAGAAAGGCAGGCTCTCACATATTTTAAGGACAAAGCGAGACTGGCAGACCCAGCTTCTGGCTGCACCCCTAGGTCCGCACAGGGCACCCGTCCTCCACAGCTCGGACTGTCCTAGGACCACGGCGGTCCTTCCTGCACCATCATTCTTTTAGACCCACCCTGCTGCCGCTGGAGTGTGAATCATCGCTGCACACACACGTGTCCGAACACGTGGTCCCAGCAGAGGGGAGAGCTATGGAAGGTTCTAGAACCTTCAGGGTAGCCTCCCTTGGAAGAAACGGGTCACTGGGGGAAGGCTTGTGGTCACATAACCCAACTTCCTGTTCTGCCTTGGCCTCCATGAGGGACTGTACATCTTCAAACTGTGCCCACAGCCCTCCCTCCCTGGGTTTGTTCTTGTCAGGGATTCGGTCACAAGGACAAGAAAAGTAACCAGCCCGATCACTCTGCCTTCCTAAAGCACCTGTTCCCACGAAGCCCAGCACTGATCCCATCTCCACCCCTCCTGGGCTCCGCACCCTGGGCATCCCCCACTCTCCCTCCCCTCAGTCCCTCTCCCTGTCTCAGGTGCACGTGTTGTTGGGTCCTGGCGACTGGATGACATGTCAGGGGCAAAGCTGCAACTTCTGAGCTGCTCACACCAAGAAGTCAGGGCACCCTGCTCGGCGGGCACTGGGACCGAGCACAGGAGTGCAGGACAGCCTTCAGGTTTACCTCCTAGCACACCTGCCTAGCTCAACGCCCCGCCCCTAGGGATGGCTCTCCCGGCCTGGCCGCGCGACGCCCACCCTTGCCAAGTCCGCCTCCTCGGGTCTACACTGAGACAGCCACCAAGGCCGGGCTCACCTGGTTCTTCCTGTAGTCCTGCTGCGAATGGCGCAGCACGCGGTAGCACAGGCGCAGCACATACTTGTAGGGGGCGTATCTCTGATCGCCCAGGTCCTCCAGCCTCAGCATCGACCCCTCGCCCGCCTTCTCCTTGAACGGCGCTTTAAGGATCCCAAACACCTAGAGGAACAAAGAGAGCCTCCTGATCTGACGGGCACGCATGCGGGCTTTGCACCCCGTTTGCATTTTTGACACAGACTTTAAAACTCTGTAGAAATACGTGAGCGGAATTCATGCAAAGGGGGGAGATACTTAGTGATTGATTGCTAGCCCTGGAAAATAAACACTGATGAACCTAAAACCCCACTGCTTACAAGAGTACCCAACGTCAACAAGAAATCCACTTCCACAGCATGATTAATTTTATTTAGAAATTATTTTATTTAGATAGTAAATTTGTAGTTGTTTGTATCAAGCTACATGGACATATTCAGATTGATTAGACTATATTTTGTATATGCTTTTATTATTCTGTTCTTTGTAACTCTCTCATATTAAAATAATAAAAAGGACACATATACTTTTTAACCTGAAATTTACATCAGGCAGTGGCTTCCAAATGTCACTCTTACCTCGTTCTAGGCAAAAGGAAATAATTCCAAATATACATGCACCAGAAACAGTGATTCTGAATACGTGAAAAGTCTTCCTCAGAGTCCCTTCACCATTCACAGTACACAGATAAATGGCCACAGGAGCGAAGGAGCCAAGGGAGCAAGCAGGGAGCAACCCAACCCCACCCACAGTGAGCCAATTCCTGCCCAGTCAGGGGCACTGAAAAGGCAGCCCTGGGCCTCTGGGGAAGGAGCCAGTGGGCTGAGAGTTCTCTGTGAAGGAACACCAGATCACAACCATGGGCCTCAAACAAGAACTCAAAGTAGAAAGGAATTGTCCCTTGGAGTTCATGAACTACGACAGCATGTCTCTTTGAGACTTTTACGTTCTCAAGTTTCTTTCTGCCCAGGTGGAGACACTTACGGGATCCACAACCAGTCAAAACACAGAGACTAAATGCCCTGGCGCCCAGGTCCAATGAGTGCATCCGCACACATCGCCTGCACCTGAGGCCCAGCAAGCCGTGGGAGAAGCAGAGAATGTGCAGGGGCCCGAGGCGAGGGTGCGCAAGGATTGTGCCTCTCGTGTGGCAGGGAGCCTGCACCTTGAACTACACAGTTGCCTGAGCAAGGCCAGTGTGAGGACAGGCCCAGCTGACAGGTAAGCACGAGTGAGGGAAATTCCACGTGACGCACTCTCACATGGAGAGCTAGAGTCCGTCAGCACCTGCTCCAGTGACCAGTCCCCACATGGGCTGTCCAATACCAAGTGGTCAGCGCTCGCTGGACTCGGATGAGCAATGCTAAACGGAGCAGGCTGTGTATACACTAACAATAACTAGGCAGAAGTCATGAATTTGGAGGAGAGAGGAGTTGGAAGGAGAGAGGGCAGAAGATAAATGCAGTCAGTATTTATGTATGACGGTCTCAAAATAAAATTATTCTTGAAAAGAACTTAATGTTCACTAGACCCTGAATTACGTTGATTTATATTGTGAAATAAAAGGTTGGATACATCAGTTAATATAGCCCTAATTCACCCAACGTCCTAAAAGCCCCTGAAATCAAATGCTCTAAAGATAATTTACTGAAGTCAGAGAGACTTTGTCCCTTAGACCTGCAGTCTTTGGTTTACCTCAGAAAAACACCATTTCCAGATATTCTACAGATACCAATGTCCACTGCGTCTTCAGTCTTCCTTTCCCAACGCAGCCTTGTATGCTAATTAATCAATTAGTGTTAGGATCGTTCGTGCTTTTAAGACTCTTTCTTGAGTCTGTACGTGGTTAATACCAAAGCTGATGATGTTAAGGAGCAAATGAAGCAATATAAAGAGCCTCTAGCTGCGGAAAGGTGTGCATGCAGGGTGCTGGGGACTCACTGACTGGTGCGCTGTGCACTTGAGAGTTCTGGACTCGACTACCACACCTTCCCGGAGCAGACAGAAGCAGGTGCAATGGTTCCAGAGTCCCCTGGGAATTCTCCTCAGAAGTTCCCCAAGGCAGCTTCTAAAGAGGCTGAGCACAGCAGGGGCTTGGGGATCGGGGGTGGGTGCCTCTGAGCTGGCCTAGGATCCTATGGAAGCCTCTCTTGACAGGGGCTGTAAATTGCTTCTAGCCAGTCACACAGAACCGCCGGGCTGGCATCTATGATGCAGTGCTCTTTCTTCCTTGCACAGTCTGGGATCTCCACCCCGGGGATGGATGGCCTACAGTTAAATGGGTCTTCCCACGTCAAGTATCCTAATCACAGGCGGGCTCAGCAGCCCATCTCTCCATAACCGCCAAGCCACCGCTCACACCAGCCATCCCAGGGAGAAAGCGCCTCGCTTTCTCCAGACTCATGCTAAAGTCTGAGCACCCTGGGAAGGGGCTCTCCTCTCAGCCCACCCTCCAGAAGACACCCTGACAGTCCCTCTGAGAACACCCTGGGCAAAAGCCTCCCACACGGGCATTCTCACACTTAAAACTCACTGAAATGGAAGGAAGTGTCTAGGTGCCACTTGTTACGAAGCAAGACATAAGGCTACAAAGATTTCCCTGATGCTGTAACTCAAGACATGAAATACGCAAATTCAGCTCACTGAGCGACTCACCTGTGCTAATATGTTTTGTTCCCTCATGAGCTTCTGCCGCTCCCGGTTAGGCTTGGTGACCACCACGTCCAGAACGTCCTGGCCATTGTTAGTGACATCCGCCACAAAGAAGATGAGGTCTTCCAGCAACTTAGTCACAAATCTATCACAAAGGAAGGATTGTGACAATAATGGACTATGAAGAATCAGCTCTAAGAACTGAAACAGTAAGAAGGTTAAACTTCTTAAAATATATTTAATCAACAAAATACAGTATTATCTAATACAATTGATAGTTATCTGTCCAGTTAACCTACCCCTCAACTCCAATTCCAAATATTTGCAAACAGTTATTAAATAAAATCCTGTGAGTCTCAAGAACCAATGGACTGGGAAGAGAAGGCAAAGGCGATTCGATGTCACCATATATACGCCAAAAGAGAGCATCCGAGCCCCTGGAGTTGGCTGTAAGCTGCTATGTGCATGCTGGGAATTGAACTCAGAACCTCTGGAAGAGCGCAAACAGTGCTCTCAACCACTGAGCGAGCCATCTCCCCAGGCCCCCATTATATATTTTAAAAGACACACATCAGAGTGAGTTCCAGGAGAGCCAGGGCTACAACAGAGAAGCCCTATCTCAAAAAAACCAAAAATAAACAAATAAACAAAACTTCAACTGAAAAAGAAAAGAACAAAGTGAGAATACTGCAACAAAGAGTAAGGATAAAGTAGTGACGAGGGATGGATGTGGGAGGGGCCAAACTGAGGCGGTGGGGGCAGGGAGAACCCTCCCTCGGGAGAGCCTCAGACACCCAGGGCCCTCGGTGGGCTTCAGCTGGGCGGTGCTGAGAGGACAGGAAACACGCGATGGAACCTCCACACCTGTGTTGGAAATGCTCACGCGTCTCCCCTCATCAGAAGGCATGAGTTCTCACACACCTTATCAGAAGGCGTGAGCTCTTGCCCTCAGCGTCCCAGCTCACTGTGGACTGGTGGAGAGGGGCCATGCCACAGCAGACAGAAAGTGAGCGAGAACAGAGAGAAAAAACAACAGTGTCCCACCTGGAAAAAGCCTGCACAGTTAACTTCCAGAACACACAGAAAACCGACCTCAGGAAAGACATCCAGCATGCTAAGAGTCAGAAGGCTGATTCCTCCATAATAAAACCCCTAACAAAGCCATCCTAAGTGGTATCTAAATGAGTGTGTTGTCAGTCCTCAACAGATAGAGAAAGCAAGTACTATCAAAAAAGAACATAATTTAAAATGGCTGGTGTGAATGAAGAGCAGATGGTGAGAAGAGAGCCAGCAGAAATATGAGAAATTAAAGTATATATATATAAAATCACCAAAATGCCATTATAAGGCATTTTATTATCAAAAGGATAATAAAATGCAGAAAATTTTAAAACAGAAAGAGAAGTTAAAGAGTTCAAGGTCATTATTAGCTACACAGAGTTCACGAGCTCCCTGCGCTATATGAGTGCTGGTTTCACAAAGGAAAGAAAGGGGGTGCAGAGAAGAAAGGAGGGAAAGGAGAAAGGAGGGAAGGAGAGAAGAGAGGAGTGAAAGGAGGGAGGGAGAGTGCGAGGGAGGAAAGAAAAAGAAGAGAAGGAAGGACAGGGGAGGAAGGAGGGAGAAAAGAGAAAAAGGGAGGGAGGGAGGGAGGAAGAAAAGAAGGAAGAAGGGATTTATAAATTATATGATGCGTTTATAAGAACCACCACACAGCTCCGTTTGTTGCATAAGGACAAGGCGGTCTTCTTAAAGAAGCAGGTCTAGCTGGCTGGATAAACCCTGTGCAACAGAGTAGTCCCAAGCTGCAGGAAGAGCCAGGCATGAAGGCCTTCATCTTTGCAGCAACCCAGTACAGGCTGCATGGCCACAGGTGTCCCTGTGAAGAGCTGTGACAGCTGCAGCCTGTGTGTCAAAGCAGGTCTGTCAGGCACAGTAACAAGCTGGCGTTCTCTCAGGCTCCAGGGGCAGCTCATGCCCGCTCCCTCCCTGCCCGCTCCCTCCCCATGACAGACTAACGAGAGGCTGTGCTCTCGTGGTGCAGTCAGGGAGCATACAACCAGGAAAGTCAAATGAAAGCATCTAAGGTGGAGGATGGAAGCCTGACACAGAGCTACCCACAGAGTCCCTTCCTGGGGTGATGAAAGGAAAGCACAGGGAAGAGAGAGAAGAGAGAGAGCCAGCCCAGGCATCTGGAGCCTGCAGTGTTCTCGCACCCTCCCTTTGACCTTGGTTTTGACTAAAAAGAATATCTAATAATAACATCACTCCATAGGGCCAAAGTCAGGGTTGTCAGTCACTCTCAGGACGAAAGTTCTAGTGAATTCTAAAGTCCTTTCCCTGCCTGACAGGCAGTACCGGCATGGGGGGTCATGCCACCCCCATTCTCAGGATCGGGAGCCTCGCTGCCATTTTTCACGGAAGCAGTGGGGAGAAGGCAGGAAGTAAGAAGGGGTGGGCCACCGTCCTCCTGAGGCCGGGCTGGAGGCTGTGCTCCATCCTCTGGGAACTGGGGAAAAGTGGCCGTGGAGGGAGGAGCGGGAATCTTCACAGTCACCAAGGACACACCTTAGAGAAGTGAATATGGGAGACAGGCAGGGACAGATTCACCAAGAGGAGGTCCCAGTGGGAGCACCCCCACTGCTCACTGAGGTCCATTTCCTGGGTCATCGGTAGACGGAGGAGCAGCTGGTCTCTGCTCCGGCCTTTGCTCAGTGGCCATCACAGGGCAGGCTGGGGGCAGCTGTCAAACGCAGCTTCCCACAAGAAGCAGCTCGAGAAGAGAGAGGCTGGAGGCCGTGGTGTCTGTCAGCATGGTGACACATTGAATTAAGGGGTGTGTGGCCCGGCGCACGCCTGAGGGATGAGGTCTCTACTTACACATTTAGTGACTAACACTCACAGACTGTTATGGCCGACACCTCTATCCCATCTCCCTACACAACCCAAAGCTTGTTAGGTTCCCTCGAGCCAGCACACAGACATGAAGAGTGAACTACAGTCATGCTCCAGGCTGTACCGAACTACACTGTGAGCACAGCACAATCTTATCACTCTCCAACGATGACAAACGTGGGTGGCCTTCAGTTTGGGGTCATTTAGAGCAAGGCTGGACATGTCTGTCCGTGTGTTCCATTGAGGGATGAAAGCAGGGAGCCACACGCCCACGTCTCTGCCTTGCTCTTCCTGGTGGGGCTGTCTGGCAGGGGTGAATTCTCTCAACGGCTGTAGACAGCTCTAGCGTACCCGGCAGACTCGGCCAACAGCTCCTCACTGCTCACACTCAGTCTCAGCGGGGCACGGGCATGACGAGACAGACGCCAAGCTCCCGGGAAGCACCCGGCTGCCAGCCATGTGATGGGCCCTCCTCTCACGGCTATGTGGAGTTTGAGCCCGGGCCCTCCAGACAAAACAGCAATGGCTACTGGAGGGCTATGAGAACGAAGAGGTTCCTAAATCACTGGACCTAACATGGCTCACACAAAGGGCAGGCGTGACTACCTCTCCTGTAAACAGCCTTGTTTTTCTCACATATTTAAAAATAAATAAATTCATTAAGGACCAAAAATTCATTTTTCTGTGTAGTGACACAAGCAGAGAGCAGTCTTTTTTTCTGATATCACGTTTGACCAGTCTGTGGTACTAGAGATAAAAAATGTGTTACGAGTAAAAATGATGAGAAAACATAAAACTCAATATCCAAACGCAAACTCAAGTACACTCACGTGACTCTTTAAACGCTTTCAAGATGAGATCTGAGAGAACCTGAAATCATCTGTTTTCAAGCCAAGAGAAAGCAGAAAATGTAGGTATTCCATCAGACAAATGTACGTTTGTTTTTCATGTATGTATGCGTATGCGTGTGTACCTGTGTGTGTATGTGTGGGCGTGGTATCTGTGAGCCAGCAAGTGTGGGTGCTGGCTAGCACTCTTCACCGCTGAGCCGCCATCATGTGTGATGTGCTGCTACAGAGGACAGTCTAAAAGTTCCATTAGAGTCACCTGGCCTAGCACAAGAATTAACTGAATCTGTGTGGGTGGGTGTGGGGGTGTGTGCGCGCATGTTTTTCTGTTTGTTTGGGGGTTGGGGTGATTTGTTTATGAGCTTTGAGAGACAAGGCCGCACATAGCCCAGGCTGGTCTTGAGCTTGCTATGAAGCTGAGGGTGACCTTGAACTACTGACTGTCCACCTCCATCTCCTGAGTGCTGAGGTCACAGGCCTGCACCCCCAACCCGGGTCAACAGCTGCCTCTTGAGGACTCTGGGCCATGCTCTGAAGGCCACCCACCTCCTCTCGTTCTGAGTGATGCTGCCGCTCTCCAGCTTCCCCACTGTGGTGGCCAGCACTTTGCTGGCGTCGTTGGCGAAGTCCAGGTCTCGGACCTCAGACAGCGGGACGCACACGATGGCAAAGGCTTCTTTGTCCTCCTTAGTCTGGCAGGTCCCAATCTGCAACATGTGTTTCCATTAAGCCGCACAGTCTCTGGAGAACGCACTCCTCACTGCTAAGGTACTGGGTGGGGATGGACGAGACAGAGGAACTCCGAACACACCGTCCATGAGGAAAGGCTTCAGGGACCAGATGGCTTTGCACGGCCCCTCCCGGCCCCGGATGAGTGCCTCCTCCACTCGCCCCCCCCTCTGCCTCAAATGCTCCAAACAGAGAGGCCTCCTCCCACTGTGTCTCTCTGACATCTGCATCCCCCCCCCCCCCCCCCCCCCCCCCCCCCCCCCCCCGCTCCTGGCCCAAGCCCTGCTGAAGCCAGCCAGGTCGGGGACCTAAGCAACCTGCGGGTGAGCGCCCCCACGAAAGCAGCTGCACCTGAAAGGCTCCCCTTCTGTCTGGCTGTCCTCACCCCAGCACTTACTTTCAGCATGACGGGCCTCTCCTCCTCCATGTCTATGGGGGTGCTGGTGCTGGTCACCCAAGTGTTGGTGCAGAGGTGCCTCAGCCGCACGTAGGAGTTCCTGAAAGCGTGGAAACCCATGTCGGCCTGGCAGCATGGTCTGAGGCCCGAGCTCCTGCTCCTGATGCTGAGCCTGAATCCAGTCTCCAGAGCGCACATGAAAACGGCACAAAGTCGTCCTCTGAACCCCCCCACACACACACACAAAGTAGTAACTGCTAGCTAGCACCCTCCGCGTGTTGACACACTCCACAGAGCCACGTGTGACAGGGACAGGACATGTCTTCCATGAGGACCTGCTGGGGTCCATCTGCAATAGGAAATAACTACTAGGCTCGAGCTGGCTGGGCGCACACAGCTCCACTTCCTAGGCCAGAGGTTCCTGGGTTGTCAGCATCCCAAGGAATGGTCCACATTCAGGCACTGTGGGTGCAGTCAGCGAGGACTAGTTCATCCTGTCCCAGACAGCCTGCAGCCCTGAGCCACAGAGCTGCTGTGGCCATCGAGGCACACTCAGAGCAGCTCACTAACCGAACAGTTCTGAGAGGGCCGGCAGGCACAGCCCCAAGACGGTGCAGCAAAAACTGCTTCCCTGTGCTGCTTAGTGACTTCCCCTGTGTCCTGGGTTTGGTTGGACGTCTCGGCGTTTAACATAGAAACACTGACTCCAGTGGAAGTCTGCAACGTGACTGGAGAAGAAAACACTACTCAGGGTTACAGGGTGGAGACGAACAAGAGCAAGGTCTGCTGATGAGCATAGGAAGACACCATCATAAGGCCATCGCTCTGTATGGCGACTTAAATTTCATTTTACATCCATGTATTTCTGTGTGCAGTACCTATGGAGGCCAGAGGAGGGTGTCAGATCCCCGGGGCTGAAGTTAAAGGAGGTTGTGAGCCACCTTGTGCGGGCGCTGGAAACCAAACTCAGGTCCCCTAGAAAGCACTATGTACTCTTAACCACTGAACCATCTCTCTAGCCTCAGGGAAAATAAAAATTTAATGCTTGTGGTAGATGCGGTTCTTCAGGTATGAGTTACAGTCTGCTTAGCAGTAACTGAGTGTGAAGAATCAACACTGTGGGCTACACAAGGTGTCCTTACCACCGAACACACACACACACACACGCATGCTGACTGCCCGTGCACTTCAACCGGGGACTCATCAGAGCCCACACCTGCGGGGGGGCTCACAGCCTGGGTGCTGGGGCTCACAGCCTGGGTGAGCAGCAGTTCCTCATCTGATCATTTCTTGAGTCGAGAGTAACAGTTATCTGTGTGTGCGCCGGGCAGAGGGGCCTGAAGTGCACTGGAACTCCACCTCATTAACCAGCGCCCTCTCTGCCTCATCCTTCATTCCCATTATTTCTTTAACAGGAGTGCACAGTGCCAACTAAAAGAAAAGGCCCATCGCTTAGTGGTCAGCAGAAAGCTAAGACGTAACATTCATACAAAGTAAAACATTTAGGGCCAAACAGAGGCCATGACCTCAAACGCCTCAGAGAAAGTCAATTATCACCAGGGTTCTTGCTCATTCATAAAAGCAGATAAAACATTCAGTGCATTTCGGATATCTAAAATGGCAAACACCTCAGCCTTGTCCAAGTCGGCAGAAATGACTCCGCTTACCACCAGACTCCTCTGAGCAGGAGATGCTGCCCACGGTGGCTGTCTTCTGAAGTGGGACCTTATGGTTTCTGTGGAAACTCAGTTGGGTCATGTGAATAAGCTTTTTGTTTTGGTCCCAAGTGTGGGATGTTTTTCCCCTTTGGGCGAGTGATGTTGGTCCGCTGAAAGATACCTTGTGCGAGGGGTGTGGTTCTTCTGGGCTGTAAAACATCCTCGTGTGGACTCGGAGAAGGGTTAAACAGAAGCCCACAGACAGTGAGACAACGCTCTCGGCATCTCTATGCTTTCAAGCTGCTGCAGCTGGCACCAGAGAAAAGGTCCAGGGAACTTCTTCCCTCTGCTTTGTCTGAGTTTTGCCGCTTCAGCAGGCTCGTGCCATTTGGGCAGAGTCTGGCTGCTTCTACTGAATTGTTCTGCTGCTGCTGCTGCTGCTTTGACTGGACTGCTGGTGTCCTGACGACTGAGTTTCGTAACCCCCAAAGGACCCATCGACCCTTATCAGCAGGAAATAGATAAAAGCGGTCTACAGCCCCTTTCCCTACTAATGTCCTACCTAAGGTCGGGGGGTGGGAGGGAGGAAAGTAGGTGTTTGGGAAATCTAAGGCTACAGTGTCCTCCACCGTGTCCAAAGCTTGGGAAAGTGGGGTCATCACACACTCCGGGTAACCAGCTCCTCCATTTTATCCTTACATTTTCCAGCACAGGTGAGTTTCCCTTCTTCAAAATGCTTGTGTGGTTGTTTAAATGATACATAGGTTCATATGTTTAAATGCTTGGTGCCCAGTTGGAAGGACTGTTTGGGACAGATTAGGAGCTGTGGCCTTGTTGGAGGAGGTGTGTTATTGCCACCATTACAGTTGGCTGGCCGGTACTCCTCTCCCTCTCTCTCTCTCTCTCTCTCTCTCTCTCTCTCTCTCTCTCTCCCCTCCTCCCTCCCTCTTCTGATTATTTCTCACATGTGATCTCTAAGCTGCTGCTCCAGCACCATGCCTGCCTGCTGCCATGTTCCCCAGCATGGACTCTAATGCTCTGGAACCACGAATCCCCAAAATTAAATGCTTCTTTTACAAGTTTCCTTGGTCATGGTGTCCCTTCACAGCAATAGAAAACATTAAGACAGCTCGGAACCAGAGTGGTTGAGATTTCAGATTTCTTTTAAACATTTCAGAGTGGGTGTGTAATGATCCAGACGTGACATTCATGTGTCTTAGCCATCTAGGCCGAAAGTAATTTTATACACTATTTTAAGTACACACACATTTTAACTGCAGTTCATCACACGAAGTCAGGTATAGGATTTTCCACTTGTGGTATCACATTGGTTCCCCAAAACTGTCACGTCTTAGATCGTTTCAGATTAGAATTTCAGATCAGGGAGGCTCTCAGCCTGGTGCACCCCTTGAGTCAACCACATGACTGGGGTGCAAACTGAAGAGATCATAACCCAAGAGTGCTAGCGTGGTCGGCAAGGACAGGAGCTCAGTGACTCCGGGGCCGTCACAGAGACGTGCTGGCAGTCAGGCTGCGACACGGGCTGACTGTCTACAGTTTAAGGGCACTGCTGTAGAATGACAGGGCAGAGCAGACTTCGGGTTCCATGCTCCAGGATCAAACCCCACCTCGTGAGCACAAGACAGCAATTAGCTTGTCCTTCTGAGTCACTGTCTCCCAATCCCTGCTGTCTACCATCTGAGAAGTCCAGGCTGCACAGACACCAGTTAAACCAGGGTCTAGCATGGGAGGTAGGTCACAGACAGCCACGTGTCCCATTGGTCGGGAGAGACTGGACGCCCTGCTCTGAGCCCTTGATGCAAAAAGTCTAGTCCAGGCTTTCTGAAAAGGCCCTCTCTCCACCCCGCTGCAGACCAACAAATCACAAACTATGCATATCAATCGCCATGGCTGACTCGGTACACAGGGGTTAACATTTCACCAGGCAAGAGCATCGCTGTGGATTTCTGTCCTCCAGCATAAGGGCCATCACCATCTTGATCAGAACAGGGGTGACGGCCCTAGGACGGGACCTGCGGCTCGCTCACGGGGGGGGGTAACTGCACCCTCAGCTGGGATGCCTGCCACTTCTTCCTGCATTCCCCCACTGCGCATGGTCTGAGGGAGTTCTGGAATACATGGTAAGTGAAGGTTAGCCGACGAGGAATTGCCATCTGCACAGCTAAGGGGAGTTATCATCCACGCTGGAGCCACACTTTGTGGTGACTCAGCTGTTTGGGGTCACCCACATCCTCTAAGGAACCCTTCACCACGTTCCTCTAACTCACTGGCTCACTCACTGGACCTGAGTGGAACCTTTCCTTTGGTCTGCTGTCCATGTGTTTGGAGACGTTTGTCCCAGCCCTCCAGGAAATGCAGAATTCATACTGGAATCCCCCGGGGGGTGCTTTGAAGAGAGCTAGAGTCCACATCTCACCCCCAGGCTGTCTTCACTGTTTTCAGAAGGACCAGCACCCACTGCTCAGCTTTCTCGGCCAGAAAAAGGAGGAGGCCCACTCTGACTCAGCCCTGACCACTGTGAGTTACCCAGGATGAAGCCAGGGAACCGTTCTGAAGAACTTGACGTGAGGCTTGGCAGGAACATAGAAAATCTTCCAGGATTTCAGATGAGGATGTAAAGTGTTTAGCGTGAAAAGTTTATTGTTGACTAAATGCAGTGAGTGACAGCCGAGTCCATGTTAACAAAATCTTTCTCAAGACAGAAGAGAACTTCTGTCTACAGTTGTCTACAGTAGCTAACACAGGCAAAGGAAGACTTAATAACCCCCAAAGTGAGACTTAGTAACGGCCGGTAAGACTTAGTAACCCCCCTAAAGTGAGATTTAGTAACGCCCCAAAGTGAGACTTAGTAACCCCCTAAAGTGAGACTTAGTAACCCCCTAAAGTGAGACTTAGTAAC